TCAGAGGGCATGACAACGTTCCTAAGTGAAATTGATCTTAATTCTGCCTAATTTAAAGTAAGTATGCACCACTGCATCATAAACCATCAGTGTTAAGGCTTTAGTTAGCAGTATGCGCCAAATCTGGAAGCTTGGAAAACTTGGAGCACAGCACCATTTTCATTAAAAGTTTAGTAAAGGAAGAATCATAATATTTGTACAGTGATTGATAACTTTTTGAAGCAACTTTGCCAAAACATTTCCTAATCTGATGCTCACAGAAACTCAACAAGCTAAGTTATTTTTCCTTTGATTTTTAGAAAACTAAGGCTGAAGAACTTACATGACTTACTCAAGACCACCAGCTAATAAGTGGCCACGTTGGAGTCCTAGCCTGGTTTATCTACTTGCTATTCCTGTACTATTTTCAAACTGTCCATGAATAGTAAATCAAAGAGTAGAAAAATCTGAGGGGATTTTTAAAAAAAGAATTACAGTAATTACTACTGGAAGCAGACTGGAGGGTAATTGTGCGGCATCGGCTGCATGTGACAGGGTTCCTTTAACACCATTCCTCACTGCAAGAAATCCAGGGTGGGAAAAGCCTACCCATCACTGAGGCACACACCACAGGCACTCAGGAGGAAGGGAAATGCTGGGCCAGAACTGAAGGGCCCTTTTATACCCCTTCCCCATACAACTTAAACCACAGTGCCTGGGGTGAGAGCAAGAGCTTGGCACCACCATTTTTAAAAAGATCCTCCTGGCTAATTCCAGGGTGCAGCAAAGTTTGTAATTTGTCCAAGATTGTGAAACCAGTAATGGGAAGCTACCTAGAGTCAACTTCATTGTGTTTTTCAAGCCCCAGCTTTGTTTCAGAATATTTTGAGAAATGAAGAATGGGAAGATACACTAGAGAAGCTCCCATAATGATATGCCACATAATTTCTATAATTTTATTTTCCACAACTATCCTTCAGGGGTGGGTACATTTTTTCTAATTCACCATGAGGAATGTGTTTTCATTTGGCCTGTGGGCCCTTGCTAAAAGTGGAGGGAGGCCTTCAGAGACTGCCTTGGTGGGGCCCCTGGTGTGTTCACACCTGGTATTGAACATGCAGTGATGTTTATTCAACAAGTGTTTTTGGAAGACCTATTGTGTGCCAGGTATTGTGCTAGATTAGGCAGGTAAAGTGGAGGTAAGCAAGGTTCTGCCCTCCCAGAACATGTCAGTGAAGGAAAGACTCAAAGACAAAACTGAGCAAATTCCAACATTTTAGGGTTAAGGCTGCAAGGGGAACTCATTTTATTCATCTACTGTAGGACTCGGTTCTTCAAGAGGATTTGTGGCAGCAAAAACATAATGAAGTTATTAGAATGTAAATAAGAAACAGAAATCAAGACTAGGGAATATACAAATTAGAGAGTCAAGAAAAGAAGAAGAAAAACTCACAGTTATGCAAGTCATAAGGATCCACTTGTACTGAACCTCAAACTTAGCATTACGTATCCTGGCAGCCATATTGAAAAGGGAAATATGGTTAATTACAAAGTACTTGTCATCAGAAAGAAAAGGAAGATCAGTTCCTCAGGAAAAGAAAGGCTTTTCTAACACTTGGCTCTTGAGGAAATGTCTTAACATGAAGCTTCATACAGTCTCTAACAATCTTCCTATAGTTACTATGAAAATGTACTTTATAAGACAGTGCCTTGCAGCACTACACAATAAAAGTGAGAATACAAAACTAAAATGCAATTTAATAAATTCATTTCTGTCAAGCATAGGTGATCAGAAGTTGATTGGGGCCAAATATATCCAGATGAACTTATGGCTAGAAGGTGGAACATCTGGAAATGGAAGAAATGGATACCCTGATAAATTTGTCATGAACACAATGTTGGGGACAGTAAATCAAGTCAAGATAGCGCCTGGCAGTTTGCCAGGAGGAGTGGTTTGTGAAGCAACACTGCTGAGCCATTTAGATGGTGGGGATTCCTTATTGGCTGATTGCTGTGTCTAGATGATGCTAATTGAGCCAAGCTGTGTGTAATCGGTTAGGTATATATACCTCTGCTGTCCCGCAATAAAGCGGTTCCCGCTACCTTGGGTTCCCGCTCAGTTCCCGCTGAGTTCCCCCGCAATAAAGCAGTTCCCGCTTCAACCTTCAAGTTGCTTGTCACCTCCTGGTTATTTTGCCCAGCCGGACTTCGGCACACAATTTCTCTCTATTGAGATTTTGATAAGGCAGATAGTTATATTTTCTATTGTCTGGTGTAGGGTTGAAAGCTAAATATTCTATGCTGTGGATAGTGTTATGGTTTACACCAGGAGATAGCAAATGTTGAAGTAAAGGGATAGGTAGTACATTTAGGCCTTGTGGCCCAGATGCCCTCTGTCACAACTGTTCATCTCTGCTCTTGTGGCACAAAAGCAACCACAGGCAATATATAACTGATTGGGCATGGTTGAGTTCCACTGAAACTTATTTGTAGAAACAGGTGGCAGGTCAAATTCCACTTATAATTAGTACATTGCCAACCCCTGCTGTAACCTAAAAAATAAAGGCAAATTATATGATTAATACTTTGTTGAAATTAAGAGTTAGAAACCTGACAAGTCTTGGTTAGTGATGACTTTTGCCCCATAGCATAATGGATAGCAGGTGGTGATTCACACTGAAAAGAACATAGCTCTTGTTTGGGTTGCACGATCCATGAGGCTCATGTAAGGAACATGCAGATCTCAAAGCAATCCTTTTCAACTAATCACACATTAAGGACATAGTTCTGGGATTTTTTGAAACACAAGAATGGCCTGTGTTTAAAAAACATCATATTTTAAAAACCTGACATTCCTTATGGAGAAGAAGAACTATGATATTCTTCACCTGAAATGATCTCCTAAACAACATGGATTCTCAATTTAGATCTCATGGTTGGTTTCCTACGAAAGAGAGAAGATGTTGAACTATCTCTGGTGGGCTAATGTCTGCTATTTACTACTTTAGTTTTTCAAGGGAAAAATCTATTCTTGCCTACCAGATATAGATTCAGAGGGTCTTCTATGAGTATAGCATGTAGCATAACCAAAGTTATTATGAATATCCTCAAGAAAAAAATAGCATGATTTCATTATGTAAAGTCTGTTTTGAGCAGATAACACATATGGATGGTTTGTTATGACTTGAATTATTAAATACCTCTCAGGGGCCATAAACTAATCTAAGAGGTTAATTGTATAATGAAAGTGACCTTAAAGGGTTGTGTCTGGAAGATCACTGGAAGAAGAGGCCCCAAGTTATCTAGAATCTGCAACAATAAATGTGTTATTGACTCAGCTTTAGAATTATTTAAACCAATTAATATGTAAGCCATAGTCCTGAGCAGTGAGTTTCATATTGGTGAGTTCCATACAGGGTGACATTGGGAATGCAAGATTAAAAGTGAATAACAGCTTCAAAAGTGTTTGTAAAAACATCACTGTGAACACAACTATGGAACCTTTGGGGCTTTATTGTCAGTTTGAATATAATATGATGTGATGTTTTCCAGATCATAGATAATTTGTTCATTTGCTTCAGTTGGAATTTTGTTGACCATTTACTTCTCTAACAGCAAAAGGTAGTTAAGAAAACTGTGTCTAATTATTTTAATAAACTAGCATATACTGTGTCTTTATCTCCACATACCCAGGACTTAATCCAGGGCCTAGTCCATAAAAGCCACCCTAAAAGGTTTTTCAAATGAATGAATCCTGGACAGTATTAACCTGCTTGCAAAGTCAATAGAGTAATTGGTTGCCACTAAGGGAGATGGCTCCCTGTTGTTTTTGTTGAACTTCTCTAAAAGAAACTAAAGCTTTTTATTTGGGGATGGAACAAAATATGCTTATTAAACCTAGACAAGCAGAAAACAACTCAAATGGAACCATAATCTGCTTCCATCAGGTATCATCAGGTGGGACTAGGGGTACGAAGTTGGCACTCAGATTTATGCAGCAGTTATGATACAATTTTAATAATGCCTTACTTTTTTTAACAGGCAGAATTCGAGGCCAGAGGTTTCAAGGATAAGTTGTTTAGGGAGAAGGCTTAAAGCAAAGTTGCCCAAGACATTTACATTTTAAGAAGCAGCAAGTCACCATCTTGTTCCTTTCTCTTTCACTCTCTGGCCTCTGTCAACATGCTTATTAATAATAATTTATCAGTTGTCTTAGGAGAACAAATTTCCTTCAGCAGAAGTCAAAATGTGATCTTATGGTCATTATATTTAAATAACCCTACCACAAATAAGAGGAAATATAGAGAGTAGGGACATTCCGAACCAAAAATGAACTAACATTGGGCAGCTCTAGCTAGGTTCCTACCCTATCCTGGTAGCCAGGACTTAGAGGTGAGAAGAGAGGAGAGAGCCATAAGGGTGAGGGTGTGCTCAGCCACCGTCCGCTCAGCTGAGGCTGCAGCCCTGAGCATTTCATTGTGGGGTTCAACTACTACCAGAAGAATGTGGGAATGAGGAAAAAACCCAGAACAAAGCAAAGAGACATGCTTAAAGCAACATCTAACAATATGTGGGGTAACCCTCACCTGAACATGGACAATTTTTCTAACTGAAATGGATAAATTGCCTACCTGAATCTAGAAGATTTGTAAAGGATGCCCTTTGACTTGAAGAACATTTATTAAATACTATCCTATCTTGTTACCCCTACTTCTTCCTGATTTTCACATCACCAGACCAGGGAAACTTAAGCATCTGCTCATAGTTTTGATCCTAACCCTCACCAACATTAACCACAGAGCAACAGAAATAGAATGAAGAGACAAGTGGACAACCTCAAGAAGCATTTAGGTTTACCATACTGTTCCTTTTGAGTAAACACACAAAGCCAGTGAACAGTTGTCATGACCCTGATGTTTTTTAGATCATAGACTCGTGCTGATTGCCACAGTGGGTTGGAGTTACTTATCATCTGCTTGATCATTTGTTCACTGATCCATTTTGGATGTCTTTGGTCTCAGGGCTTGAGGATCATTTTCTCGGATGCATCACGGCTCATCTTCAGGCTTAGTTCCTCCAGTGGCGTGAGAGCCACCATCAGGCTGTACGCAGAGAGCTACGAGAGGGATCCCAGCGGTCATGACCAGGAACCACAGGTACAAAAGCAGAGCTATTCTCTCCACACTATGTGTCTTACCACTCCTAGCAAATTTCAAGATCTTCCATGGGTCTTTAGTGGAAAGGCATGTTGAAAGCTTCAGTTGAAGGCAAACCAAAAAACTGCTTTTTAGCATTTACAAGTTCAGACCACTATTTCCCAACTTGGCTCTCTTGACTGTTCTGCAGTTTGATTGGGGTGATACTAAGAAAAGGCACTTTGTATAGATAAGTTAAAAATTTTTCAAGTTAGAGTCAAACTAGTTGAATGTCTGATTATTCCTGTGTAAATTATGCATCTCCAAGTGTTTTGGAAACTCTGAATTGGACCATAACCTGGAAGTAACAGTGTAGATGCAATCCTTGGCTTCCTCTCTGAGGCCATTTCAGTAATCACAAATAGCTCAACCATAAGTTTCCCTACTCCCCTAGTCATTAAGCACCAGACAATATTGACTAGTACTAAAAAGAACCCACTGTGATATTGGGAACATCACGCTTTGCTGTTGACTGCTCCTGGCTCCTTGGTCTATGCTTCAGTTTGGGTTTTGCAGAATCCTCAAAAAGATGATTCTTTGAGCTGAAATATCTGCATATACTTCTTTGTGGAAAAGTAGAGAAACAGAGAAAATACTGTTTCTCATTGTGGACTTGCTCAGAATTTCCAGCTATAATATGCTTTTGGATGGAATAAGACACTGTTTCTTTGTCATTCATTTAGTTAATTTGTGTTTTCATGGTTATCTTTCTTTGGAGAATCTCAAGGAACTTGGCCATAATGGTGCTATATAGATCCTTGCACCAGACTTATAGCCAAAAGACTTATCTGGAATAAAACAATCCCAAATGAGGAAGGAGAGGCCAGAGAGCTGTTTCTAGGGTCACTGGGAGCATGAGTGGGCAGGACACATTGCCAGCTTCAGCCCTGGGTCCTTCCTCCCAAGATCACAGGCACTCCATGCCATGAAGGGGCCATGTTCTGCCAAAATAATTTTCTGGTAAGTACATTTTACCCAAGATAGTACCAAATCATGCAAGAGCTAGATGGAGGCTTACCGTCTCTTTCCGAATAAAGCACTCTTCTACATCCCATGTTGGGAAGGGAGCTTGAAGCAAGCCCTGGAAGTCCACAGCTACGTACAGGGTGAGGAATGATATTCCTGGCCTCCCTAGCTCTGACTCATTCTGACTCAGGGCTATTTTTTCTGAACATTCTTTTCCCTATTTGCACAGGGTAAATTGTTATGATACTTGCTTACTTCTATGTACTTCTCCTCCCTAAGCCCAGGCCAGGAGACATGCATGAAAATAATTCTATACCCAGATGAGTATCTCTCTGAAGTGGTCCATAAAAGCATAAAAAGTGGTGATTTTTGAAGCCCAAAACTCTAAAGGCCTGTATTATAAGGTTGTGTGGATAAAGAAAACCTAAATAATGTTCATCTTATTCCCCATTACTGAAAATATTGCATCTTGTTGGCTTAAAGTGTTTATAAATTTGAATGGTTGGGGAGTCCTTCATTGATGTTGCTCTTCTGATCTCTGATATTACTTTGCTTTCTAAACATGAGTAACTTTGAGTTTTTCCCAAGCCTAATTAATTGTGCCTCAGAATATTTAGCACATGAACTACCTAAAAATGTTATATTAAAATAGAACTTCTTGTTAAAATATTGCACATCATTGACTCACCAACTTAAGTCCTATTGCAGAGGTCAAGATAACATACAGTAAAAATTTTAAAGAAATCCAAACACCTAAGGAAAAGGAAGAACCTTCTCTTATCAGGCCTCCCTGTGTTAATTATTGCACAGCTTTACCTAGACACTTGCACTGGAGTGTTTGGGGGCTCCCTTTAAATGTAACTTTATAAGACCACCTACTTCTCCCTCCCAAGAGCTCTGGAAGGAAAGGCCTTTGGTTAACTGTTAACAGAGATCAAAGATAAGACATGTTCTCAAGCTGCTGGTGTTGTTACTGATCCAGGCCCAACAGGGAGAGACTAGCTTGTATTGCTTTCTCAGCTGCAGAGAGAATCCTTCCAACCCTTTCAGCTTGTTCTTATTTGTAGCCCAGAAAGCAGAGGATAAACACCCACTCTGCTCTTACCTCTATGCCTATGCACACATGCAGACACCCTTTAAAGTAACTCTGTAATCTGCAGAGATTCCATTGATAAGCTTATTCCAATTCAACAGGTAGTTTTTAATGTTTGCACACCCTAACTCAATTGCCATCTACATTCAAGTCATTTTGCCAGAATTCCTCTCAGCTGGTTTATCAGCATCTGGCTATTTTATTTTGAACATGAGTCATTTCTTTTCCAGACATCTTAAGCACATGTGAACAGAGCATGTTGTAGACATTTACACTCATTGCCTTGCAAAAGTATTCAGAACTAACCTAGTGATTCAACTAGGAAAAGTTGTGACATAATCAGTATGTTCCTGGATCTCCTACATGTGGACTTTTCATTTGTGTCTTTTTGCATAAATAATTATGCCATAAGTTGATGTCAGATAATTTCTTACCTATATCAAAAATTTTTTAAAAATATGAAATGGTGGTAAGGGAAGGAGATAAGAAGATAAATGATGCTTTGCCCTCATTTTGGGTCCTAGGAAAATCAGGAAGGAAGTAGCCTAGAAGATTTCATAGTTTTAAAAATATAAGATTAATTTTACTGGAAATAAGGAGACTTTCAATGAGCTCGCAAACCAGCTGGTAAGTAATTTGGAAAAAAGGGATAAGCCAAAGGCTTTAAATTCACAGGTAACCAGAAAGAGCAGGATTGGGTACATCTTTCTCACCCAATTTATTAGCGGAACTACTAGATTAACTTTTTATACACTGTCTTCCCTTGTACTTTGGAGCCCATGGGCAGAGTAGCTAATGAACAATAGAGGATCCAAAGAGAAAGGAAAGGAATTTTTTTTTTTCAGGGATAGGATAATCACAGAACTGATAATCAGCTTGAGGCTAATCAACCATTGGCTTTGATAGTTTCATGGTAGAATATAACTACACTCCATCAAACCCCAGTTCTTGGGAGAAGTCTAATTCTCCCTAACCTTCCTTGCAACTGAGGAATTTATACCTAGAAGACTTTAAGGACTAATATCTAAGTATCAGAAGTCACTCTATATTTGATTCCTCTGTCAAACCAAAGGGCATCTGCCATCTTGTTCTACCTGTTCTTATTATGACTTAACAATCCAGAAATGGAAAGCACAGCGCCATTTAATTTCATGAAGGTAGAATATATAATTTGCTATGGAAAACAGGATACCTTTGAGACTGAGGGAGGGCACTGTGAATACGTCCAGACTGTTCCCAATAAAGCATGTTTGAGTTACATGCCTTCATCCTATTGAAGAACTGCACATCTCTCTAGAGATGGGTTTCTGAAGAAGAGAGAACATGGAAAGAGTAAAAGAGATCAGTGGTTCTCAGCCCAGACTGCACATCAGAACCTTTTGAAGAGATTGATGGAAATATCCAGGCCTAGGTCCCCTACTCCTGGAAATTCCACTTTAATTATTCTGAAGTGGGACTTCTGATTCTAATTAAACCAGGGCTTCTCAAACCTTAATTACATACAAAATACCTGGGGATCTTGCTAAAGTGCTATTCTGACTTAAGTGTGAGGAGGCCATAGGCTCTGCATTTCACAAGCTGCCAGGTGATGGTATACTGCTGGTCCAGGAGCCACACTTTGAATAACAAAGAGTTAGATGAGCTGCCAAGTCCTAGCAGCAGGACTTTCTATTCAGAACTGTAGAATGAGGGACACCAGTTTCTAGTGTCTCCACAGGTTGGTCTCTGTTCTGTAGACTTGGATCTCCACTGCCTATTGGACTCCACTTGTGTGTCCCATAGGCAGCACCACCTGACACATGCAAAACTGAACAGTGGAAATAAGGAGACCTTCAATGAGCTCTCAAAGCAACTGGTAGTAATTTGAAAAAAAGGGATAAGCCAAAAGGCTTTAAATTCACAGGTAACCAGAAACAGTAGGACTGGGTACAATCAACCTGTGGAGACACTAGAAACTGGCATCCCTCATTCTATAGTTCTGAATACAAAGTCCTGCTGCTAGGACTTGGCAGCTCATCTAACTGTTTGTTATTCAAAGTGTGGCTCTTGGACCAGCAGTATACCAGGTGATGAGTATACCAATAACAGCTGGCATATGGTAATTGTACAGTAGAATTTTGCCAAATTAATGAAAGGTTGAGTATTATTAAGTACTTTGGAATGCCCTTGACTGATTATGTTACATGGGAAACTGGAATATTCTGTATTCAGTGTGAACCTTGGTATTGTTATCAGGCTTCCGTACTGTAATGGGGGGGACTGAATAAAATAAATTGCCATTATTAAGGTACCTATAATCTACAGGGCTCCATTCTGGATAGTTCACACGTACATATTTTCTTATCATTCCAATAGCCCCCAGAGCAGGCAAAGAAGTTGAGTGAGGGATTTAGACCCACTGGAGGGTCAAAATAGGTCTTTCTTATAATGAAATCCTTGATGTCCATAGTTACATTTAAGTTTCAGAGGAGAAAGAATTTCTTCCTACCTGAGTCTAAGTCCAAGCCTACATTTGGAGCCTTAGTTCAGTATTATTATTAAAAGGCTTTCTTCTCACCTAACCAGTTCTTTGAGTCTCTGACATCAACTGGGTGTCCAAGAACTCAGTTCAATTACAACACTATCCGGAGCTAACTCAGAACCCACTGGTTAAGGGCTCAGTTCCACAAGACTGCTTCAATACTGATGTCAGCTGCAAATGAGGTGCCTAGGGTACCCATAGTTCTGCCTGGCCAACTACAAATTCCAGCATTCCCATGACCTTCCTTCAGGTTTAATAATTCACTGGAACAATTTACCAGAAATTAGGAGATTACTTCCTATTACTAGTTTATTTTAAAGAATAGAACTCAGAATCAGCCAAATGGAAGAGGGCAAGCCTCCAATGGGGGAGTGTGGAGAC